ATTAATTGGAGAATGATTGTTCGAATATCAAGTCATTAATTGGAGAATGATTGTATAGGGAGAAACGATTAGTTCAATCCAAACGGTTACATGATGATCTAACGGTTACGTTAGGAAGATGCTACGATCTCGTTATGGAATTATTCCGTCGAGGTTTGTAATCTTTAGATCAATTATCTCTGACGGTTACATGATGATCTAACAGTTACAAATTTCCGACGGAATGATTCAGTAACGGGACCTTAGCATTTCCCCGTATTTTATATCAAATACTTACTTTGTTGAGTTTTTGTACTTGACTCTTATTTAAGGATAGATTTGTGTAGTCTTGGGATTTTGTATCCCATAACGATGTTCACTTGATCGAATGCTACTAGTTTAGATTGTTGGTTTAGTAATTATCAATGCCCGAACTACATTATATGATGTACCACAAATCGAGCTAGCTGATGTAATTTTAGATCTTATTCTGACCTACTTTGCTCTTGTATTGTAAACCTTCGGAGATAAGTAGAGAATGTCATAAAACTTGAGGTTACCTCCAATCGAAAAATTAATTTTCAAACTCAATTTGCAGCACTTCTTACGTTTCAAGTTTCAACAGTAATTATTTTCCAATCGAAAAACTCATTCTCAAAAAGAAAATATTCATTTTCACACAAACTTTTATAATTTTTCAATATAACACTCGCATTTTATAACTTTACAAATTATAACCTATTAATATTTTTAAATTAATTAAAAATAATAATTATAAAATGATAGTTCATCAACATAAAACTACATAGATAAATATATTTTTAAATAATAAAAATAAACATTAATTCCATGGTTTATAATATAATTATTTACAATATTGTTTTTAAATTTTTTTATCACTAGTTTGACATTTCAATTTTTCTTTTATAAGAAAGGTTATTTTATATAACTTAATAATAATACTTTTTTTATATAATATTTTGGTTTGTTATATTATGATATATGAACATTTTTTACAATATTTTAGAAATACTCTCACATTTGTTTGATTAAAATTGTTATTATAAATATATATGTATATATATATATATATAATTTTAACCGTAACCTATTTATTGTTTAATATAGACACAAACTTCTATAAATCAATATATAATCACATCAATAAAAAAAGAAACTAGTGTTTCTTAGAATTATTTGATTCCCTAGATATTGAGTGATTTTATAAATTACAATTGAACTCATTTTTTTTCTGACTTAATTGATTCAATAGATATTTTGAGTGATGTTATAAATTACAATTGGACTCATTTTTTTCTGACTTATTTGATTCATATTGAGTGATGTTAATAAATATTAAATATTGAGTGGTGATTGTTTATGAATTTATCTAGAAATTGATTGTTTTTTAACTATAGTTAATTTTAAAAAAAGTTGGTATGGTTAATTGTTAGTGAATATATTAAAATAATATTTAAATAAAATAATTAAAGTAGATATGATGTAAAAGTAAGAGAAAAATGATTGAGAGTGATGATTAGTTAAAATTATGTGAGTGGATGAGTAGTGAATTAAAGTTGATGTGATGTGTAAGGATGATTAGTTGAATGATTGATTGATATTATTTAATTATATTGATAAGATTGGAGATAGTGAGGTTGGGTTAAAATTGAATTAAATTTGAATTTTGATTAGTTTTTTTTGGTGAATTGATAAACAATCACCCTGAGTAATTCAATAGATATTGAGTGACGTTAATAAATATTGAGTGATGTTAGAATTTATGATGGCTCATGTTAGAAGTTACGATTAGCTAATACAGTGAGTTCGGATAGATAAACACACGCTGCTTTCCTATAACATAAAATTATCTGTTAATTACGAAATCTATATATATATAAAAAGATTTATCATTTTTCAAAAATAGTAGGTCAAAATCATTTTGCATTAATTACATTCAATTCTTAGTAATTTTTTTTTGTTATAAAAAAGGCAGCATTAAATGCTACCCATTAATTAAGGATTTTGTTATTTTGGTTTTCAACAAAACCATGAATGTTGCCTATTATTTGGGGTTGCTGTTGTTTTATTTTTAAAAATCATGTTTAATAAAGGAAATAACTATATATTATTCTAAATTACTGGATAATTAAATTGTCTTGCTTTGCTTTTTCACTTGCTTAATAAATTAATTAGTGCTGATTTAATACTCAACTGGCCAAACATTTTTTTTTTCAAATTAAGAAATAAATATGTATAACCGATAAAAATAAGAATTAAATATGTATAGATAATATATTAATTATTTTACAAGCTAGCCCTAATATACAAGTGAAAAATATATGATAACTCTATTGATATTTAGACTTAAACGAACAGAGTCGTCTGAAAATAATTCATTTAATATCTATGTCTCGTGCATTGCACGGGGTACGTACTAGTTTATTAAACATGAAATTATCTATTAACAACTCATTAATGATTAGTAACTTACTAGTACAGTACCCGTGCGATGCACGGGGGCTTATTATCTCTGTCTCTTTTAAAAAACAATTTTTAATTAAAATTAAAAGTACTTACTAAAGAAAAGAGCAGGTCATTAATAATTAAAAAATTAATAAATATTAGGAAAATAAAATCTATATATTATTGACCATTGTCTTCTATACAACGTTTATGGTTTGATTTTTTGGCACGTCATCTTCTTCACAAATTAGGATTGTCAAACCATTTCTGTTTGTGACACGGGAGACAACAATATACAACTGATCATGATAAAACACTGTTTTCTTAAGAAATAAGCCCCGCATACAAATGATTGTCACGGCTCTTATTTATAGTCATGTCATAATAAACCATAATGGAAAACTATGGGAAACTACCAACGCTGGAACTTGAAAGGAATTCTAACATCAGAAAAAGTTATAGCCATTTTTGGAATCAACACTTTATCACCTGCGTGATCGTCAATGAATATCTTACACCCAAGAATGTGAGTGGAGAACTTTGTCACAACCAATCGTATCCCATTACACAGACCCATAGAAGAGATATAGTTACTAAAAATAAATAAAAAATGATCGGATTAGCTTAAGAAATAAGATCATGCTTATCAAGGTGATATAATGTTTATCAAAATTAATGGAATTTGTTACAATTTAATTTGGTAAGGTTTTTTTGATTGATTGAAAAAAGAAATATTTAATTTTGATATGTATCGTTTATCAACTCTCGAGATTTTTCTCCAATATTTAACTCCAAATAATCCAAAAAAATTGTGAAATTTGTCACCAAAAGAAATCCCAAAGATTATCGGCAATATATTGTGTGCAAATAACTATGAAGTTTTTGTTACAAAAAAAATATATATATTAAAAGATTTGTTATCACAATCCGAGATTTGTTATCACAATCAGATCAAATTTGTTAACAAAATCCGAGATTTATTATAAAAATAAGATCAAATTTATTAACAAAATTCGATTAAATTAGGTGACATATGGGGCCCATTGATAACGCTTATATTAGTAAGTGAACAATTAATCTTTTTTTTTTTTTAAGATTATGAGCCATATCAATGTGACATAATGTTTGCCAAAATTAATTTAGTTTGTTACAAATTAATTTGGTAAGTCTTTTTTGAATAATTAAAAAATAATATTTTTATTTTGATATGCATCATTTATCAAATCTCGAGATATTTTTTTTTTTTTTTTTTT